AATGCATGACAGCATGGATGTGAACTGGAACATTAGTGGACCCTCGACAATGACTCATGTGCTCCAAATCCTGGCCACAACACTTACTAACTATGTGAATCTAGACAAGTTATTCTTCCTCAGTTATTACTGAACCCCAGTTTTCTCATCTGAAAAAATTAGGTATCAAGTTTTGTGATGGAAGGGTCCTTATAGGTCATTTGATACTGCTAGGTGGTGCAGTGGGTAGAGAGCTCGGCTTGGAATAAGCCCTGCCTAAGATACTTACTGGCTGCGTGACCTTGAACAAGTCACTTTACTTCTATCTGCCTCAATTTCCTCTTCTGTAAAGTGAGAATAATAGCACCTACCTCCCAGGGTTATTGTAAGGATGAAATAGATAAGATATAGAAATCATTTTGCAAACCTTAAATTGTAACGTAAACTCTAGCTCTTACTTAGTGCAATCCCTTCATTTACAGGTGGGGAAGCTGAGGGCAAATCCATTAGCCTATGACACATGGGCCGGGATCCTAAGCCCAGGCCACAGACCCCAATGTGAGACTTCTCATGGGGCACCTTGCTAATAGTAACGCCCTTGCTCCCTACCTCACTGATCCATTGTTCTTTCTAAACCCTTAACTCATCACAGAGGTGTGAGCTGTTACTCCTCTATTCTCTTTGTGATAATATACACCTTGATCACTTAAAATAGACCTGTCCCCAGGGAAGAGACCAGGAGCAACAATCAGACTGAGACAGGAAGCTGCTAATGAAAGACAGGACATTTTATAGGGAGGTTGGGTTTTTTTTTTTTTAAGAGGAGATAAGATAGTCTGTTGGGCATGTGGCAAAGAGCTCTTCAGAGAAGCCTATGGGGGCAGGGAAGTGAGGAGCACACCCCCTTCCTATCCTTGGCCACATGGATTTAGTACTGGCCCTGGGTTTTGAAGATTCATGTCTTAATGGCTTTGTAAAAGCCATTTTCAACGCAGGCTCCCCAATTACCAATGAGTCCAGAAACTTCCCACTGTCAGCTCCTTTTGGGACGCACCATGTGGCTCTAAGTTATCTTTTATTTTTTTAAACTGGCTTTTGTCTTTGGTCTTTTGTTCAGCCACTGCTTGGCAATTAACTCCTTTTGTGCTGTGGGGGGTATATGGCAGGGACCCTCCAATGCCCCTAATGACCAGCACTCTGGCTCCCGCTGGGTCCCCCCCCCCCCCCGAGTGTTAATGGTCTTAAAACCCTCTAACAACAATGCTTCCAGTCACTTTGAGCCTCTTATCTTGAACACTGGGCAAGGTTTTGTGTTAAAAAAAAAAAAAAGAAGACTCAGTTTGGGTGGGGGAGGGAAGCCAATGGGAAAGGAAAAAGGGAGAAGGATGGTTCGGTCTGGTGCGCCTAAAAGGAACAGGCCCAGAGAGTCTTCATTCTCTGCCACCAAACTTTAGAGGATTTAAAGTTTTCCAAGTACTTTCCCCCTACCACTCTGTGAGGCAGGGCATTCCATTCTGTGCCATTAGTCAGACTTCACAAAGGAGGAAACTGAGGCTGAAAGGGGGGAAACAAATAACCCAGTCACATTGGTCAAAGCTTACAGAACCAATTCTCCCACAGTCAGTCCCCGGGTAGGATTCATTCGCTGAAGTTATCTGTCTTTTAATAAATTTTAAGTTCAGTCTTTAGTTCCTAGGATGGACAGACAAACCCCCTGAACAGAGCTAACAATCTCCTGGGAATCAGTCGAAGGGACACGTGTTCCAGAAAATGGAATTGTTTTAGGCCTTCATGGTAAAACTCTAAAGTAGGAGCTCTTTACTGTGTGTGTGTGTGTGTGTGTGTGTGTGTGTGTGTGTGTGAGAGAGAGAGAGAGAGAGAGAGAGAGAGAGAGAGAGAGAGAGAGATTCAGAGATTCAGAAAGAGAGACAGAGACTCAGAGAGACAAAGAGAGACAGAGAGAGACAGAGAGAGAGATGGGGGAGGGAGGAGAAGTAAGAGAGGGAGGGGAGAGAGAGAGAGAGAGAGAGAGAGAGAGAGAGAGAGAGAGAGAGAGAGAGAGAGAGAGAGAGAGAGAGAGATGAATCCCTTCAGCTTTCTGGCAAAGTCTATGGCCCCATTCTCATAATCATATTTTTAAACATAAAAAATAAAATACATACGATTACAAAGGCAATAGTTACCAAAATATTTTTTTTAACCTAAATTCAAAGCCCAGGTTAAGAACCTCTGCTCTAAAGTATATGAATGCTCTCTCTGTAAGAGAAGGGTATAATGAATACTAATTCATGTCTTTCTAGGGTTTTAAGGATTACAAAGCACTTTCCTCCCAACGATGCTGGGAGGCATATAGTACAAATTTTATTCTCATTTTCTAGCCAAAGAAGCAGACTCTAAGAGGTAATATGACTTGTCAGATATTGGAGCTAGGAGTTGTCCTCTGTCTCTCCTGTAATTCAAATATATCCCTTCTAGCTCTAGTCTGAGTCCATGCTCCTTCTCTCGTGCAGTCAGGGAGGGCTCTGAAGCAGGAAAAAGATAATCCTAGAGTCCTCGTCAACCACCTTTGGAGTTCTACGCTCGATTTGGGGGCCACATTTCAAAAAGCATGTTGACAAGGTAGAATCTGGTCCAAAGAATCATGAGATCACAGATTTAGGGGTAGGAGACATGGTAGAGGCTGAGTCAGATCCCCTCATTTTAGAGAAGAGAAAAATAAGGCTGCAGAAGAGGGGAAGTATTATGTGATTGCCTTGAATCATACAGCTAGTGAGTATTTGAGGTAGCAGTTGAATCCAAGTCTTCCTGACTCGAAGCCCAGTGCACTGTCTTCTAAACTATGACGGCTCTCCTTGGAGCATGACCAAATGATGAGGGGACCCAAAATCATGTCATACAAGGGTTACTTCGATTGGGCTGTTCAACCTAGAGGGGTACAGACTACAAGTGAGTGATAGCAACGGGGACATGATAATTGCTGTCCTCAAATATTATAAGGACTGTGAAGTGGACGAGTAATTCGACTTGCTCTGCCAGTTCTAGGAAGGAAAACTAGGAGTAATGAGTTAACAGGGAAACTGCTTAGAGCACTGGGATAAGAATCCGGAGGACTGAGTTAAAATTTGGCCTCAGACACTTAATAGTTGTGTGACCCCAGAAAAGTCACTTATCTGCCTCAGTTTCTCCAACTGTAAAATGGGGATAATAATAAGATCTATTCCCCAGGGTTGTCATGATGATCAAAAGAGATATTTTTCTTGTAAAGTGCTCAGAATATTGTCTGGGATATAGTAGGTGATTAATATATGCAAATTCCCTTCCCCTTCCCTTCAGGTCAATATAAAGAACATATATGTGTGTGTGTATGTATATACATATGTATATGTATATATGTACATATAGAGAGAGAGAGAGAGAAAGGAAGAGATACTTAAATAATATATAAAGACATATGAAGAAAATATAAAGAAATATGTAAAGAAAAACTTTCTGGTACTAAGAGTTGTCAAAAAATGAAATGAGGTACCGTGGGAGTAATGAATAAAGTGTAATGGCTTTGAGGGCAGGGACTGTTTCTCAATTAGATTGCTGTGCATCTCAGTACTCGGCATGGGGTGGGTGCTCAATAATTCTTTGTTGAATTAAATCAAAGAAAAAAAAATGTTAGGACCATTTAAGGATTCACACCGAAGCTCAGCTCCCATGACCAGATTTACCAATACAGATAGATGGCTTAGAGTATGGAATAAAGCACTGACCTCAAAACCAAGAAGACGAGGGTTCAAGTCTGGCCTGTAACATGTACTGGCTGAATAACTCTGGACAATTTTCTTAATCTCTCAGAGCTCTGGGTAATTGTCTAAGGCTATAAATCACAGATTGAGGTATTTGAATGTGACAGAACACTATCGTGTTGTAAGAAATGGAAGGAATAGTTTTAGAGAAACCTGACACTTTCATAAAGAGATCAGAACCAAGAGGACAATGCATGCAATGACAATTTACATGTCATTATAAAAGGGAACAATTTTGAAAGACTTAACAACTCTGATTAACACAACCATTAGCCCCAGCTTCAGAGCACCAGTAATGAAGAATGTTACCCACTTCTTCAGATCATGCATTCAAGATGCAGTTATGAACATGCATTTTTGGATACGGCCAATATGGGGATTTGTTTTGCTTGATTATGTATATATTACAAGGGTTTTCTTTTTATTTTTTTCTTTCTCATTTGAGAGCAGGGTAGAAGATGGAAGTGAAAAAACAATTTGTTAAACAATTAAATTAAATTAAACATCTGTTTGTTAAACAATTAAATTGATGGTTTGTTAATTGAAAAATTAACAGTTTTTTTCATTTTTAATTGATTTTTAAAAAGACTGAGTTTCAAAGAAGGCACCAAATTACATTTGCAGAGAGAGTTTCCTCACTTGGCATTTCCTACGCCAATGAAATCTCATTTCTAATCCTTATCCTATCAGTGGAACTAGAGCATTAAGCTGTGTGTACCCCATGTGTCAACAAGTCCTCCTAATACTCAAGCAGGAGACTGAACAAGGGACCACCTGATAAGGGGTCATCTCCAGGGATGGAAAGCTCATGAACTTTCTAAGTAGCCCAGCTTGGTATTTGAGAGCCCTAGTACTTAAGAAGTATTCCCTTCCATCAAGAAGAAACCTAACTCTAAAATGAGTCATGACCTTTAATAGTGACTACAATCTTAATGGTAATAATAATAATAATAATAACAACAACAATAGCTATCATTTATATAAATAGTGCTTTAAGGTTTGCACAGTGCTGGAGGCCAGCACCTGGTAGTGGGCCCCTAACCCCGTGAGATTACCACACCCCAAGCAGCTTGTTCCGGGACAAACCGTACCATAACGTGTTCCTGTCAGGGCTAACCGCAAGATGTCGCCACACCGCCCCTGGAAAGTCCCGGAGGCCCATTTTCCCCTTTTGCCCCTCCCCGCTTTTGCCCTATATAAGCTTGTAACGCTCAAAAATAAAATTAGACCTTGCCTACCATCCTTTTGGTCTCACTCCTCCTTTTCACCCATTCCCTTCAGCCAGGGTCCTCCTCGACCCCCCACGTATACTGGCCCTGCAGGTCGGGGCAAGTGGCGCCCAACGTGGGGCTCGAGGTTCGGACTTCTGCCAGGCGGACCAGCATTGAGAAACGATTCGTCGCGACCCCCTCCTTCTCATCGCTCATGAAGAGCCCCTGCGTTTTGGTAAGTTGAGTTTTCGTCCGCCTCATTCTAATCATGGGTTCCAACCTTTCTAAGGAGCAGGTCTTTATCCAAGACCTTAAGCATGCCCTTAAGGAGAGAGGAGTTAAAGTTAAGAAAAAGGACCTTTTGAAATTCTTTCTTTTTGTAGATGAGGTCTGCCCTTGGTTTATGGTTACCGGCCCAGATATTCATCCGGGAAAGTGGCAGAAGGTCGGGAGAGACCTCAATAGAAAGTTGCAAACTGAAGGGCCAGAGGCGGTCCCTCCCTCGGCTTTTTCTTACTGGGGTATCATCAGAGACATAGTGGAATCTGCCCCTGGGGACCCAGGCAAGCGCCAACTCCTTTCGGTGGCAGAGTTTTGTTTACGCCCCTTGTCGCGGGCAGCTTCTGTTAAATCGCTACAGCGCCCTTTATCACGAACCGCCTCTACAAAGTCATTAGAATCAGTGGGAAAAAGTCCCCCTAGACCCCCCTCCGTGGTCATTACCATTCCGCCGGAACCTCCAAAGCCTCTTTATCCTCCCCTCCCTGTGGAAACGGTCCCGGCTACTGAACCTTTAACACTGCCTATAATTGCAAAACACAAAACTCCTCCTTTAGGAGATCCTGACCCTGATACTCTAGATCCCGGGGACGAGGCGGAACTGGAGGAAGAAGCCGCCCGATATAATAACCCGGACTGGCCCATAACTCCCCAGTACCTACCCCCTCCCTACATATCCCAGACTTGCGCTCCTGCGCTTTTGCCCCCCATTCCCACTTCCTCAGCCCTCACATCCGCCAGAAGTCAACTCTCCACTCAAGTTAAGGAGCTCCGAGAAGTCTTAGATCTACAAAAGCAATATGCACAACTCTCTTCGGAACTGAGTTCCCTGCAACACTCCCTCCAGAATTCTGTCATTTTTTCCCCCAATAGGTCGCAGTTACATCAGAAACCCCTGAAAAAGATCAGAGCCAGTGCTAGAGATAGAAAATCTAACAAGGCACAGCCCATGATATTCCCTGTTATGACCCGGTCTCGTCAGCCTGACTCCTCACACAACGACCCCAAGGAAGTTTCTGCCAGTGAAGGGGAGGGAGATGAAGAAAGTGAGGAAGAAGGGGAAGAGGACGAGGGAGAGGGGGAGGGACAGGATAGTGGAAAAATAGAAGAAGAGGAATGGGCAATTGGAAAAAAGGAAGGACAGCGGTTAGAATATAGGAGATTGCAGTTCAAAGGGATTAAGGATCTTAACGCCGCCGTCAAGTCCTATGGTCCTAACGCCCCGTTCACCCTCTCAGCTCTTGAATCTATGTCCCGCGGAGGATATCTCTTGCCGGCAGAATGGCTTCGTGTAGTACAGGCAGTCCTTTCAAGGGGGCAGTTCTTGACATGGAAAGCAGATTTCTTCGACCGCTGCCAATCCATGGCTACAGCCAACCAAAAATCCCCTGGCTCCCCCGCTTTAAAGTGGACTTATGAGAAGTTGAGTGGTCAAGGGAAATACGCAGAGGAGGCCAAACAACGCTGCCTCCCAATAGGCCTCTTGGCGCAAACCGCCAATGCTGCATTCGCGGCTTGGCGTGCCTTGCCCACTTCTGGATCCCCCCTTGCTCCGCTTAATAAGATCGTACAAGGAACTCAGGAAGATTTCTCTGAGTATGTTAGTAGGCTCTTGGAAGCAACTGAACGAACCTTAGGGCAAGAAGCGTCTAATGATCAGCTTGTGAGACGCTTAGCATATGAAAATGCTAACAATGCCTGTCGGTCTGCCTTACGCGGGAAGTGGAGAGATAAAACATTAGAGGAAATGATACGTATGTGCAGAGATGTAGATCCCTTCACTACCAAAATGTCCCAGGCCGTACATCTGGCCATAGGGGCAGCTCTCCAAACCGGGGACTCCCAAAAGGCATGCTTCCGGTGTGGTCAACCTGGCCATTTTGCCCGACAGTGCCCTAGTGCCCCTGACACTCCCTCCGCTCCAATCAGCAATAAGGCTTCCCAACCCTCCACCCTCTGCCCTCGGTGTAGGAAAGGGAAACACTGGGCAAATACCTGCCGCTCAACTACAGACGTTCATGGCCACCCTTTACAGGGAAACGGTCGGAGGGGCCAGCCCCGGGCCCCCCAGTCGACCCCTTTGTTCGGGCCTCGGGGATCAGCCAGTCCACACCCCACTCCACATCCCACTCTTCAGAGCCACTGCAGGAAGCGCAGGGGTGGACTTGTGTGCCGCCTCCACCTCAGTATTGACTCCCGAGGGTGGCGTCCATATTATTCCTACAGGCATCTTTGGCCCCCCGCCCCCTGACTTCTATTTTTTCATCCTTGGTCGCGCCTCCGCTACTATTAATGGCCTCATGATTCACCCCTCCATTGTGGATAGTGATTACACGGGGGAAATTCAGATACTTGCCTCAACCCTGAAAGGGCCCCTCACTGTCCGTCAGGGACAACGCCTTGCGCAGGCTCTCCCGCTCCCCCTACAGACTCCATACCCTGCTCTCGCCACTGTTAGAGGCCACTCCAAGCCTGGTTCCTCAGACATCTATTGGGTCCAGGCCATTTCCCAAGACCGCCCCATGCTTACGCTTTTTATTCAAGGCAGGCTTTTTGAAGGAATATTAGATTCAGGAGCTGACTCGACTGTTATCTCAAAAGACAGTTGGCCATCTTCGTGGCCCCTTCAACCATCCATGACACACTTGCAGGGCATAGGTCAATCCCACAATACCCTACAGAGCTCTCAATGGCTGCCTTGGCAAGACAAAGAAGGAAATAAAGGGACTGTTCGGCCTTTTGTGATCCCCGGCTTACCTGTCAACTTATGGGGAAGGGACATTCTTTCACAGATGGGGGTAATTATGTGCAGCCCAAATACCGTTGTGACCCGTCAAATGCTCTCCCAGGGATTTCTCCCAGGGCAAGGATTAGGCAAGAAAGGTCAAGGGCAACTGTCCCCATTGTTGCTGAAGGGAGAAAAGGACGAGCAGGCCTTGGTTGTGAGAGCCCAGATAATCAGAACCATTTTTCGTGAGGGCCACGGGTCCTCCTGCACTCCAGGCAGATAGGATCTCGTGGAGAAATGACCTACCCGTCTGGGTAGACCAGTGGCCCTTACCCAAGAAAAAACTGGAGGCAGCGCTTGCTTTAGTGCAGGAGCAACTAGCTGCAGGTCACATAGAACCATCTACATCCCCGTGGAACACGCCCATTTTTGTTATCCAAAAAAGATCAGGTAAATGGCGACTCTTACATGATTTACGGGCCGTCAATAAAACTATGATTCCTATGGGGGCCCTTCAACCTGGGCTCCCCTCCCCTGTAGCCATACCGCAAGATTTTTCTAAGATTACAATTGATCTTAAGGATTGCTTCTTTTCCATTCCCCTCCACCCTTCCGATTGTCAGCGCTTCGCTTTTAGTGTTCCTATTACCAATTGTGTGGGCCCTTCTCCGCGCTTTCAGTGGAAAGTTTTGCCACAAGGCATGGCTAATAGCCCTACGCTGTGCCAAAAATATGTTGCCCAAACAATTGATCCTTTCCGCTTGCAGTATCCCAAGCTTTATATTATCCATTATATGGACGATATCCTCCTTGCAGGACCAAATAATGAGGAATTGACTCAGGTATCACAGGAGCTCATTAAGGCGTTGGAATATCGGGGCCTTAATATTTCCCCTGATAAAGTGCAAACCTGCCCCCCCAGCTGTTCTTGGGATTTGAACTCTTGACGAATCGCATTCTCTCCCAGAAGGTTCGCCTACGAGTGAGTCACCTTTGCTCCCTTAATGATTTCCAAAAATTACTGGGAGAATTGAATTGGCTTCGGCCATATCTTAAGATCACTACAGGGGAACTGCGACCCTTGTTTGATATTCTTAAAGGAGACTCCGATCCAAATTCACCCCGCTCTCTCACGCCGGAGGCCCGTAAGGCCCTTGCCTTAATTGAGCAAGCCATTCATGAACAACATATTGGCTATTACGCTCCTCAAAAACCTCTTTGGTTCTTAATTTTTTCCACCGCTTTTTCCCCCACTGGATTATGGCAGGGACATCCGTTATTCTGGATTCATATGCCAGCCACACCTACAAAGATCCTTTCTTCCTACCCGCATTTAACGGCAGGGCTCCTGCGCCTCGGCCGAGAGGCAGCCCTTCGACTTTTTGGTCGAGAACCAGATCATATTGTTTGCCCCTACACTGCTTCGCAGATTCAATGGCTGCTTCAGAATGATGATGATTGGGCAGTTAATTGCATTTCCTATATGGGAGCTATAGACAATCATTATCCCTCAGATAAGCTCATTCAGTTCTTTCAGAAAACACCCGTGGTCTTCCCAAGGATCACCAAAGCGGAGCCCATAGAGAGCGCCCATTTGGCGTTCACTGATGGCTCCGCCACAGGGAAGGCAGCCTTTAGTGTTGATGGACAGGTCACCTCTTTTGACACCCCTTTCACCTCCGCGCAGCTGGTAGAGCTCGCAGCGGTCATTAAGGTTTTTGAATCTGTCTCGGGCCCCCTCAATGTTTATACTGATAGTTCCTATATTGCACAGTCAGTCCCTCTATTGGAAACCGTCCCGTATATCCGTCCCTCCACTAATGCGTCTCCTCTTTTTGCCACTCTTCAGCTTCTAATTCTCTCCCGCGATCACCCCTTTTTCATTGGTCATATTCGTGCCCATTCCGACCTCCCCGGTCCTCTTTCTGAAGGGAATGATCAGGTTGATCAAGTAACTCGTCGCATTCTGCTTGCTCTGTCTGCCTCCCCTGTTGAGGCTGCCACACAAGCCCACAAGCTGCATCACCTGAATGCCCATACGCTTCGTCTCAAGTTCCCTATAACCCGGGAACAAGCCAGACAGATTGTGAAACAGTGCCCTGGTTGCCTGACCCTCCTTCCTGAACCTCATAATGGCATCAATCCCCGAGGTCTTATCCCCGGGGAACTTTGGCAAATGGATGTCACTCACTATCCCCCTTTTGGTCGGCTTAAATATGTTCATGTGTCCATTGATACCTTCAGTGGCTTCATTTTTGCCACCCTGCAACCTGGAGAGGCCACCAAACATGTCATTAATCACCTCCTTAGTGCCTTGGCGGTCCTCCCGCAGCCCAAAATTCTTAAGACAGATAATGGCCCTGGTTATACCAGTTCTTCTTTCAGATCTTTTTGTACACAGTTGCATATTAAGCATGTTACTGGTATACCCTATAATCCTCAAGGGCAAGGAATTGTGGAAAGGGCCCATCAGACACTGAAAAACATGATCCTGAAATTACAATCAGGGAGGGAAGTTCTTTATCCCAGAGCTGGCAATGCCAAAACATTGCTCAATCACGCTCTTTTTGTTTTAAATTTTCTCACTCTGGACACTGCGGCAAAGAGTGCCGCAGACCGCCTTTGGCATTCCACTACGGCCCAAACCTACGCTCAGGCAAAATGGAAAGATCCCCTGCTTGGCAAATGGCAGGGCCCTGATCCTGTGTTAATCTGGGGCAAAGGCCATGCTTGTATTTATGACTCAAAGTGCCAAAATGCTAGATGGTTGCCTGAAAGGCTGATTAGGTTGATGGACAAGCCAGAAACTCATAATGCCGTCCAGGGAACCACACCCCCCTGAGACACCTCTGTTTTCTTTCTCTGTTTTACAGAAAATGACGATCCTCGTAATTTTCCTCCTGTTCCGTGGGAGCCACGGTGGTTTTCAATCTCCTGACCCAGTAGCGCTCAGCCGTGCCCTCTTTGGAAGCCCTTGTGACTGCGGCGGGGGCACGTTCACTGTCCGTCCCGCCACCTACACGCAAGAAGTGGACTGCGGGGAAAAGACAGCCTACCTCGCCTACCGTCATTCTATCACGGGCGTCTCCAAACCCAAGTGGGAATGCGTAAGGAAGCCCCGAGTTATCCCTCCGAATGGTGGCCAGCCCGGGCCTTGCCCCAGTGATTGCAACTACCTTGAGGCCTTGCACTCCACATGCTATAGTTCTACCCAGCAGTGCAGTGGCAGCTCAGGAACAGTCTATCTTACTACAATACAGGAAAGAGAATATGGTGGCTCCACAGGAGGGGACTGGGCGCATATAACTAGCCAAGGCCTACGTGGAAGTACCAATAAGTATGCTCAGGCTTCCTGTCGTAAAGAAAATATTGGAAAAAATGTCTGTTGGCCCCTTCATGCACCTGTCCATATCTCTGATGGGGGTGGCCCTACAGACCAAATTAGGGAACATGAGGTTAGGGAACGAATAAATGAAATAATTAAGAGTATGTATCCCCCCATCCATTACCATCCACTTGCACTGCCCAAACCCCGGGGAACGGACCTAGATGTCCAAACTTCAGAAATCCTTGAAGCAACACTTAAGGCCCTTAATTACTCTAACCCTGATTTGGCTGCCGATTGCTGGCTGTGTATGGCCCTTGGCACACCTATGCCCATAGCTTTGATGTCCAAATGGCTCCACATCCACAAATTGCACACTTAGTCCACCTTTTAAGGTACAACCTGTTGGTCTCCGCCCCTCTCCTTGTATCCAAGCCCCATTTCAGAATTCCACTGCTGATATTGATGTTGGTTTTGCTACCTTTGCTAATTGCTCTGAAGTCAAAAACTATACCTCACAGGAACCTCTCTGTCCCCTGCCGGGACAACTTTTCGCCTGTGGGGGAAATATGGCCTACTCTGCTCTCCCCAGAATTGGACAGGACTCTGCACACAAATTTCAATCCTCCCTGATATCGACATCATTCCGGGAGATGAGCCTGTCCCACTGCCCAGTTTTGATTATATTACTGGAAGACCCAAGAGGGCTGTTGCATTTATCCCCCTCCTTGTTGGCCTTGGGATTACAGGGGCACTCGCTACCGGCTCTGCCGGCATAGGAGTTGCTGTTGATTCATATACAAAACTATCCCATCAATTTCTTAATGATGTGCAAACCCTCTCGGGGACGATAAATGACCTTCAAGACCAAATTGACTCCCTGGCGGGAGTCGTTCTTCAGAATAGGAGGGGCCTAGATTTACTCACGGCAGAACAAGGGGGAATTTGCTTAGCCCTACAAGAAAAATGTTGCTTCTATGCAAATAAATCTGGGATAGTGCGGGATAAAATCAAAAAACTGCAAGAGGATCTGATTGAAAGACGCAGAAAACTTTTTGAAAATCCCCTCTGGAGTGGCTTGAATGGAGTCCTCCCATACCTCCTCCCTCTTCTTGGACCTTTAATTGGTCTCCTCCTACTTTTTTCTTTTGGACCTTGGGCCTTTACCAGACTAACCTCTTTCATTAAGACGCAGATTGAGGCTTCTCTTAAAAACACCGTCAATATCCATTACCACCAACTTGCTTCGTCAGAAGATCCTACTGATACCATGGAAGAGGGTCTCCAGTTCTCGAAGCTCGTGCATCCGGAATCTCGCTGCTCGCGGTGGTGGAGAAATATTAAGGATAAAAAGTGATCTGGCAGCTGTGAGAGAGCCCATGACGGGAATATTGAGGTCCCATGTTTCAAAAAAAGATCAGCGCGGCTGCAGTTGTTTCCCCATGACGGGAATAGAGTGAGGCCATGATGGGTTACATCGTGGGGTCCCCTCGCTTAGCCTAAGACAGGGACCACTGCCACTAATGCGCTTTGAACATGGAGGCCGACCTCATAGCCTAAGACAGGCCTCTCACCTGCTATTTTAAATACAAAATGGGGGACATGCTGGAGGCCAGCACCTGGTAGTGGGCCCCTAACCCCGTGAGATTACCACACCCCAAGCAGCTTGTTCCGGGACAAACCGTACCATAACGTGTTCCTGTCAGGGCTAACCGCAAGATGTCGCCACACCGCCCCTGGAAAGTCCCGGAGGCCCATTTTCCCCTTTTGCCCCTCCCCGCTTTTGCCCTATATAAGCTTGTAACGCTCAAAAATAAAATTAGACCTTGCCTACCATCCTTTTGGTCTCACTCCTCCTTTTCACCCATTCCCTTCAGCCAGGGTCCTCCTCGACCCCCCACGTATACTGGCCCTGCAGGTCGGGGCAGCACAGAGCTTTACAAATATTGTCCCATTCTGACCTCATAAAACCCTGAGAGGCAGAGATATTATTATCCCTATTTTACAGATTTAAAAACTGAAGCAGACTGAGGTTAAGTGACATCCCCAGGGGCACACAGCTAGTAAGTATCTGAAGCTGCGTTTGAGCTCAGCTCTTCCCAACTTCATTTCAGCTGTTGTCGTTCAGTCATTTTTCAGCCATGTCCAACTCTTCATGACCCTATTTGGGCTTTTCTTGGCAAAGATACTGGAGTGGTTTGCCATTTCATTTCCCAGCTCATTTTACAGATGAAGAAACTGAGGCAAACAGAATTAAGTTACTTGCCCAGGGTCACACAGTAAGTGTCTGAGGCCCGATGTGAATTCAAGTCTTTCTGACTTCAGGCCTAGTGCTCTATCCACTGTGCCATCTAGCTGCTCTCCTAACTTTATATCAAACATTTAATCCACTGTGTCACCTAACTGACTTGAAAGCAAAATGAGTCTTATTCCCTCTGTCTCTTATGGCCCTTTAGGTATTTGAAGATGGATATCATTTTGCCCCTAATTTTTCTCTTCTTCAAGCTAAGTATCTCCAGTTCCATCAACCAAACCCTCCTATGATCTGATCCCCAATCCTCTCCCCATCCTGGTCTCCTTCCTCTGGATGTCAAACAATTTGCCAATACCCTTTCAGCTCTAGATCCATGATTCTATTCCTTGAATTCTACATATTTGATATTTCTTATAAAACAAGTATATTCTGCTACACCCATTTAACACAATCTGCCCACCCATTCCCAATAGATGGTTATTCACCTTCTTTCATCTTCTTACTAACATAAAAGTGCTGCTACAAATATTTTGGTCTCTGTGGGACCTTTCCCTCTGCCTTTGTCTACTTTAGGGTAAATGTACCTCAGGGAGATTTCTGGGTCAAGGGGTATGAACAATTCAGTCACTTTTTATTCATAACTTCAAGGTTGTTTTACATAAAAAGCATTTAGACTAATTAATCATTTGCATTCTTGTCTTTCCAATGGGTCCTTTAATATTGTCTGTCATTTCCCATATTTGCCAGTTTGCTGAATTTGAGGCAAAATTACAATATTGTTTCAATTTGTCTTTCTCATATTATTTGTGATCTGAAGCATTTTTCATATGCAGACTCAAAAGATTTTGCAAAGTACCTTCTATCAACCCATACCTCTCCCATTGTGCATGTGACCAGTTGATTCTTTGAATTTGAGTTCAGGCTTTTATTTTTTTTTCCCCTATTCATTTTTCTCTTGCTGGTTTGAACCTATTGGTCTAGTCTGTCAAGATTTGAACTCAGGAAGATGAGCCTTCCTGACTCCAGACATGGCACTCTATCCACTGGGCTACCTTTGTATGGATTTTGTATTTACTTATCTATGTAGGTGTTGGTTTCTCTCCCCTTCTTCCAGTAGAATATAAACCTATTGAGGGCAGAGGCTGGTTTGCTTGGCTTTTGGAATTCCCAATGCCTGGCACAGAGTAGGTGCACAAAATAAATGCTTGCTGAATTCCATAGAGCATGGAAGGGAGCTCACAAAGAAACCAGAAAGATGCGTATGTGGTGCTGTAGGCATTGTCTGGTGGGAGCAAGTTTAGGGATATGCTCAGAGTATGACAGAACAGACAAAGCACTGATCCCTGGACTGGTTAGACCATTGAAGAAGAGAAAGTCGTGTCCCTAATGCAATAAAAATAGTACTGTTTGGCAAGGATAAAAATAGGACACAGACCCATAGGGAGATTTAACAATGAAATCCTAAATGAGTAGGTCAAAGAACAAATCAAGGAAAAAATAATCATGTGAAAGAAAATTATAATGATGAAACAACATACCAAAACTTCTGGGATGCTGCTAAAGCAGTCCTCAGGGGAGAAATTATGTATCTAAAAAATACATTAACAAATAGAAAAGGAGAAGATGAATGAAATGAATATGCATTTTTAAATAGGAGAATACCTTCATAAAATACTCAATGTAACAAAAGACCAAATAGAGATTTCAAATGATCTAATTTCAGGAGAAAAAACAGGAACTAACTAAAGGAACTACCAAAAAGGGGTAAGGTGACTGGAACAAAAAATGAAAGCCAAAAATCTCTTGATCCTGATGGATTCACAGAAGTCAAACTTTTAAAGAATAATTAGCACCAATATTACACAAAAATATTCAAAACCATATAGTCAACTCAATAGAAGCAGAAAAAGCCTTTAACAAAATACAAGACTTGTTAATGCTAAAAACCCTACAAAGTATAGGCATAGAAGGATATTTTTAATACCATAAAAGCATCTAAATAAATAAATTAGAAGCTTTCCCAATAGGCATAAAAGTAAAGTAGAGATGCCCATGGTCTATGATATTGTTTGATATATAATTTTAGAAATGCAAGCAATGGCAATAAGAAAAGAGGGAGGTGTAAAGAGAAGTAAACAAGAGACAAAATTCTTCCTCTTTGCTGACAACATGAATCAGAAAAGATACTAATGGAAAAAACTAATAGCTTCAGCAAAATAGCTGTTACAAAATAAAGTGACAAAAATGAACCACATTTCTATATAATAATAACAAAATCCATGTTAGAATAATATTATATTTATATTACATTTATCCATATTAAATTCAATAACTGGAGTAAAAACAAAATACACCAATAAAAATGTATATTAAAAACTAATGAAGTCAGGAAGAGGCAGGAACTGAACAGATTCATTTAGAAGAAGTCTATGCTGAGGACAACACAATCTTTAAGAAAATCAATTTTCAAGATACTACCAAGAGGAGAATATATTGAAAGAATGGAAAAAAATCATGTACTTTAAGTAGATTTCATGAAACCCCAGGATTTAGAGCCAAAAGTTATTTTAGCAGGACCATTTCTATATGAATCTCATCCAAATGATCAGAAAAAGATGCTGCTGCTGCTGCTGCTGCCACTGCTGCTGCCGCTGTAAAAGAGGGGGGAGAAGAGAAGGAGAGGAGGAGGAGGAGGAGGAAGAAAGAGAAGGAGGAAGAGGAGGGGAGGAAGAAGAAAGAGAAGGGAGAGAAGGAAGAGAATATTTCATTATCTATAAAATTAGTGCCTCTAACGTCCCTTCCTGCCGTTCATCTATGCTCCTATGTAGTTTTTCAGAGTTTGCACAGCAATCTATATTATTTGATTTATCCTCACAACAAGTCTGTAAGATAAATGCTATAATTCTCATTTTTAAAATAAGATAACTGAGACTCAGGGAGATTTTTGACATTCTTTTTCATAAGATTTTGAGTTCCAAATTTTCCTCCCTCCCTCCATTTCTTCCCCCCTCCCCAAAATGGCAAGCAATCTGATACAGGTTATACATGTGCAATCATGGAAACTTATTTCCACATTAGTCATGTTGTGAAAGAAGGAAGAGAACAAAAAGAAAAAGCCACAAAAAAACCCCCAAAAGTGAAAATAATACGCTTCAATCTGCATTCAGATGCCATAGTCCTGTCTCTGGATGTGGATAGCATTTTCCATCATGAGTCTTTTGGAGTTGTCTTGGATCATTGTATTGCTGAGAAGAGCAACGTCAATCATAGTTGATCAATGCACAGTGTTACTGTTATTGTGTACAATGTTCTCCTTGTTCTGCTCACTTTACTCAGCATCAGTTCATGTAAGTCTTTCC